GAACTCCTTCAGTTGATCGATTAGAATCATTCCTTTAGATGAAACAGGGATAGCCTTAGTGGATGCTGCCTGTCTTGGAGGAGAGTCACTCTCTAGAACTTCTGGGAGCTTGCCGGGTGCATGGGTGGATTCTTCTTCCATCAAGATTCCCACTCTGTCTGTTAGCTTACCAATTCTAGCCTCTTGATTTTGCATGCATTTGGTCAAGCCAGCGATTGCTTCCGTCAAGTTTGCCAACTGCTCCTCTATGGATGAAGTGTTTGTCACTATGGCTTGCATGATTGTCGTGGATGACGGAGAGTAGCATGGATTTTCACACAGATTAATCCTTGATTGGCTCACGCTATGTGGTGTAAGTGGGGAGGATCCATCACTTGAAGCGTCATCATCTTCCTTCACAGCAGAGTGCTTGGATCCGGAGAGGTCAAGCAGAGTAAGAGTTTTCTTGATCTTTTCAGCAACATCGCTTCCTCCTTCAGATGCGTTTGTGGAAGATCTTGCTCCTTTTGAGGATGAAGATCCGAAAATAGGGGTTAATGCGGACGGCACTTGGGGTGCTTGTTGTCCTAAAGAGCTTGCTTTGCTCCTCGTAACTGGTCCGAAGCTTCCAAAGGTGACATCGAGGATGCTTTCCACATCAGCATAGAACCTGGAGTTAGCAGCCTTGGTGGAAGTTGAAACGGAGTTGATTTTCTTTGAAGCCATTTCAATGTTCTTGAACTTTGGTGATTGAAAAGTTGAGATGAGAGGTAGAGATTGTCCCACTGGGCGTGCCAGAATTTGTAGACAATAAATTTGCGTCGAGAAAATAAAATCAAGACCGAAAAATATCGCAACAATCGTAGTATTTTATTTCGAATATTTGAGTGTTGCAATCTCTATGAATCCTCCGATTCTTCTTTCCAATAGTTAAATAAATTCAAGGGCCTTTGAGCTTGATCTTGAATCTATATTTGTTTCCACGAACGATGATCTTGTTCTTGAGCTTAAGCTTGACCTTGATTCGCTCTTCGTTCTTGAACTTGAACTTGATTGCTTGAAGCTTGAAACTTGTAGAGGAATTTGCGGTGTTTGATCCACGAGCTCTCTCTTGCTTCTTGTTATAATTTCTGGTGTCTTTTCTGAGTTATGAAGACCCCTATTTATAATTGTGGAAGGGAAGAGTCATGATAAGAACAAACTCTTTCCGACCAATCAAATTGAAGTGTGACATGACCGCATTTGATTGGCCAAAACATGTCATTTGCACACGTGGCGCGATTTCATTGGCCTTTTAGTGTGACTTGGCATGCCTTGTCATTTTGACATGTGGCATGATCCTATTGGCTCTTCCGTTTGACTTGGCGCGCCACGTCATTTGACACGTGACACCAAACTGGGCCTCTAGGAAGATGACATCTTGGGCCTAATGAATTGGGCTCATCACTTTAGCCCAATTAAATGGGCTAGCCCAATGGATTATGACTTATTTATTTAATCCATATATATTGGACTTATATAATTAATTCAATTATATTAGCCCATATATTTATTTGGACCAATATATCTCGAATTTAAAATATAGTCCAAATTATTTCATGGATTTAATTTTAATAAAATTTACATGCCTACACTCGTGAGACAAATACTTTTGCCGATTCTCTTTTTAACTTGATTAAATAAGTACTTAATCTGTTCCAAAATAATCAGATATTAATCAAGTCTCTTTATCTAGAATTTAATATTGCACATCGTATTTTTCTTTAAGAAGTCATGCATAATTCCAGTGCAAAAGTATTATTCGTAATTAATCCTCTAAAAATAAAGAAAATACAGATGATTGAGAAGTAGTATTTTCCTCTCTTAAACCAAAAAAAGGATTTAATATTCCAACTTTCTTAAGGGATTTTTATATGCTTATACACTATTTAAAACTTTATTATCAAAAATGTTCATGTTTAGTTAATTACCCGACCTAAACAAGTTTTGTTTATAAAATATATACATTCCACCTTAAAAGGCTCCAAATCCACTATTAATGCCTTCAATTAAGGGATTTAGTTACACCATTTTTCTTTTATTTTTTCTCCTCTTCTCTATCCTTATTTTTCTTCCCTTCAATCACGATTTGGCGTTGATATTGTGTGAGTTTCTTGTTTAAGATTCATTTTTTTAGGATTTCCTTAGGGCCTGGTTTATTGAGATTTGAACTGAAATATTTCAAAGGTCCTAACTTTTTCTCTTACGGGGTAAGTCAACCAAGTGGATTTGTGAGAGGAATAGAAAATGATAGTATTAATGTACCTTTTTGCAATGGTATATGGAAAAATTAGAAGGATCTTTAGAAATGTAGGAGAGAGAGGTATGAAAGTTGTAAAAACACATTATTTATATAGGTAAATAATGTATGAAAGTTGTAAAAATAAATTTCATACAACTAATTATATATTATACAACTTATCTACAACTTTCATACATTATTTCTACCAAGTTATATACAACTCATATATCATACCACTTAAATACAAATTTTATACAATATGTCTTTTGTATATTTTGTATCTGATTTATACATAGCAAAAATAAATTTCATACAACTATTTATATATTATACAACTTATCTACGACTTTTATACATTATTTCTACCCAGTTATATACAACTACAATATCATACAATTTAAATATAATTGTTATACAAATATTGTTCAACTTTCATACAATATTTAAATAAAAAATATATATAAACACCAGACTATAATTTTTCTACAATTTTACTATAACTTTACTATAATTTCGTAAGTATAATGTATGTTATGTCTTCTCCTTCTTTTTTCTTCTTCGAGTTTCAATCTTAAATTCAACCAAAATCAAGTCTAATTTTCACCAAAACACCCTACTGGAATTAGGGCATTGAGAGATAAAGAGAGACCTAGAGAGAGAGCGCGGGAGAGAGAGAGACAGAGAGAGAGCGTCAGAGGGAGAGAGAATAAGGATAGGAAATAATTGATTCCTAATATAAAAGGATACTCATTTAATTCCTAAAGTATATATAATTGATAAATTTATATATATAATATAATTAAATTAAAACTTGAGGAGGGAGGGTAATAAAGTTTCCAACCGTATATAAAAATCTCTTTTCTTAACTATCATCCTTGACTTGTCCAAAACGAAAATACATGTGACTTTCTTCCTAAGAAAAAGAGAGACATACCTTTTAAATAAGAAGAAAAAGTATTTTTCAAAAAAGACCATGCCAAAATAAAAGGAGTAAAAAATTATTATTCTCTGAGAAAAGAGGGTTTAAGAAGAGGTTTATGAGTAGACATGGGAAACTTCTTTTCCACACTTTCAGATTCAGATACAAACCCTACCTCCCCCAATTCTACCACCACAATCCCCAACACCATGTCTTCTTCCACAGAATCCTCACCGACCCACGAATCAAAATCCGATCTTGAACCGACCCACGAATCAAAATCCGAAACTGAACTGACCCGTCAACCCGTATCCGCTGAAACCCAAAACTCTAAAGAGGAAATCAACACAGAAACCCAAGAAGAAAATGGAGAAAATGAAAAGGACAAAGATACCAATTTGGAAGAAGAAGAAGAAGAGGAGGGTGAATGTGGGTTTTGTTTGTTTATGAAAGGGGGAGGGTGTAAAGATGCATTTACCGACTGGGAAAAATGCATTGAAGAAGGGGAAAAGAACGAAGAGGATATTGTGGAGAAGTGTTTTGAGGTTACTTCTGCTTTGAAGAAGTGTATGGAAGCTCATAGTGATTATTATGCCCCTATATTACAGGCTGAGAAAGCTGCTGAGGCTGAATTGGAGAAGGAATTGGACAAACAGAAGGAGAAAGAGGAGCAACGAAATGATGCTGATGCTTCGGGATCCGTGTCGGTGGACCCTACATTGGACGGGAATTCAAATAGTTCTTAGCTAAATCAGGGCTAGTAAGTCTCTGCAGAATTAAAAAAAAAAATCGATCTTTTTAAATTTTGGGGGTGGGGGTTATAGGTGATTTTGATAATTAAAATGTCGGAAATTTAGGAGATTTTTTTTGAATTGAGGGAAGAGAATTAAGAGCTTTTGGATAATGCTATAATTCCAATAGTTGTACTCAATTTGCCTCAAATTTTAACTTATACGGGTTTTCTTGAACTGAATAATTAGTCGCACTTCTTTCGTGTCATTGAGTGTAGACTCTATAGTTTCTTCTGAATTATGATAATAATGATGCTGGATTGAGTAGAAGACATTTCCCAGCTATGACATTCAATTCTTGATCTGTAAGTTGTGTCATTTGGTTAGTAGCTACTTTTGGATAAATAAAAGTTTGATGTTAGTTTTTTGCTGCTGGAATCGGTATAATTAATGTTGATTTATGTGTAAATGCATTAACAAAAATCTTATGGATTGACTACTTTCTATCTTGTATTCTTCATCACTTTAGGTGTATGTTGTTCTTTCTGCAAGATTGCATTTGTTAGAGCTTTGGTAATGTGCAAAATAAGAGTGCAAAATTTTCTGTGTGTTTAGGGGAAGATCGACTAAGCAAGATAAGAATGCAAGATTGCATTTGTTAGGGCTCTGGTAAATTGCATATTGTATCTTGTTACATCCTATGATCAGTTGTTAAGTTCCAGGAGCTAGTCATATAGTTTATCAAAGTAAATCTTAATATTAGTAGCGGTATAACAACGAGACATTGGTTTGATTACTCGTTGATGACATCAATCCCATGTTTCCAAGAATTCCCCGAAAAGTTTATTTAATTTTTCTGAAAACTATTTCTTCATTTGCTTTTTCAATGCAGTACAAGAGTTTTTGAATTTTTTTCCAATTATTTGCTAAAGACAAGTAGTGAATGGTGTAACGTATCCTAAAAAAGAGTAGTGAATATGATACAATTGGCGTTTTTAATGTTTCCCAGTCTTTGCGTTGCTCCATCTTTCAGTGTTGTTGCCTGCTAAAATTTTAAGTCACTAAACTGTTATTATATACATCCTTACCATATATAGCTAATTTCCTTTGGAGACTTGACAGTACAATAAAGTAGTTTTTTTAATTGTAAGACTTGACAATACAATGAAGTAGATTTTTAATTGTATTTAGTGCTGCTGCTGATCACCTGATCTTTCATAAACATACTAAGTGTTCCATCATATCATAATAATGGTGGGTATCTGCATGTGCAATGCATTTTAATGCCACTGAAGTTGTCCTCTGCATATGTACCATATAAACTGATGTGTCATCATGTTGTGCTGCTTCTCAACCAGATGTTATAAAGAGTAATAAGTTGGTAAATATGGTTATCTTTTATGGCTGCTTAACATTACTCCTGTATTCAGCAGTGTGCTCCAGAAGGTATGTGGAAAGCAAATCTAGAAAATGTGATTGAGTCGGAGCCAAGTTTGACAACTAGATTCGAGGATATCCTGTGGCTTATATTAGTGGCCTTCATATATGACGTTTCTTGAGTTTATTTCAGTCTTTTTAGCTCATTATATCTAAGTTCTTGCTTATTGATTCTCCTTATTCTGTGGCTAGCTCTTCTAGCTTTGTGATTCGGGTAGGTTGGATTCTATATGAATAGGGCAGATCGGCGCACGAGGCATCACGCAGGGTTCCGGGAAGGGCCGCACCACAAGGGGTGTGATTCGGGTAGGTTGGATTCTAGATGAATAGGGCAGTCCGTGCACGAAACATCCCACGTTCACGCAGGGTCCGGGGAATGGCCGTACCCTAGGGGGTGTGATTCGGTAGGTTGGATCCTATGAATAAATAAACATAAAGAAATGGTCTTTTCCTCAAGTCAAATAAAATTCGTAGAAGGTAGGCTACTTCATGAAATCTAGAGTAATATAATGCTGTTTGTTTGTGTCATGCTTTCATTCGTCTCCAAGTTGCTTCTGTTGTGCTCCAAATATCTAAAGAGATTGTTTTCCCTACAAATGGTAATTCGTTAAAGATCATCTGTATACAGGAATACGCCAATCACTGCATACTTCCTAGTGTCATGTATGTTGTGGCATTCATCAATGGAAAAGGGAAACCATAAAAGTGTCATATATCTGCAGTCTGCATGCAGGTCCTAGCGCTCTCCTCTCCAATCTGGTTTTGTATCATGATAGAAGCTAGAATATGGTCAGTTTCACTTGTTATTTATCCTTTTTGGCGTAAGGCAGGGTAAAAGCGAAACCATAATAGTTGATACTTTAAGCACGGGTAAAAGGAAGGGAACCATAACGGTTGAAAGTTTGAGCAGCGCTGTTGTTGAGCATCAAAAGATGGTGCTTACATCATAAACAACACTTCCTCTCTTAGTTTTGCAGATTTACTTGTCCTAATAGTCATATGGAACGATAAAAGCTGACCTCATTTTACATGTTTACCAGTTTCCATGGCATATCATTGATTTTCAATTCGAGGCAGTTATGATTTTAGGCTGATGACTTACTGAAGGTCCTGAGATTTCACTGTGTTAGGATTTCTTGTGTGTTCTTGCTAATTCTGTGTAGGAAATCTGGAAGTGCAACACCAACCGTTAAAAGAGTGAAAATTAAGCTTCTTTTGTGCCCTGAGGCAATCCTGCATGACCTTAAAAACTTCACTGGAATATGTGGATAATCATTCCGTGGTACAGGGATGATTAACTCCAGGAGTTTAAAAGAGTAAAAAGTGAAGTTCTGCTGTGGTGGCTGAACATTTAATTCTGATGGCTTCTTTCTTTTTCTTCCTGTGGTTTGTTGCAATAAAATTCTGCCTTGTCTAGTTAATTCATAATTTCTTAGTGTTGCTGGAATCATACATTTCATCATGGTGCTATATTCAGATGACCTATATATTAGTAGTTGCTTTCCTGGAAAGGGTGGGGGGGGGGTGGGGGTGGGGGTTGGGGTGGGATGGTGACACAGTTGAACAAGGATTTGAATTATATTGTAGTTGTGCATTTCACTAGTTGTTGTACACTTGTTACAAATTAACTCTCCTTGACTTTGGTTTACATGTTGCACTCCTCTTATCTCAGAAAACAGATCTTTGTTTCTTTTACCTCTTGCGCATCCGGTGCAGATAAGTTTTTGTCATTCTAGAATTAAAGGTGCTTTAAACAGTGTAAAGGGTGGTAGAACCTTAATGATAAACTAGCATCATATATAAAAAATAAAACAATTGAACTCTCATAAATGCTAGCATATTATCACCTAAATTAAAAGAAGAATCACAAAATCTAGGTGCAAGCAAAACTATTTTAGAGTTGAGCCATGGTGTTCCCTAATTAATGATATATTTTGGAGTGTAACAAAATAAATGTAACAAACAACCAACTTGGGCGACTTTTTGTTATGATATGCACAACTATAATTTTAAACCTTACATAATTTTAGCCTTTTGTAATGTTTTCTTCTTCCATTTTCCTGAAATATATGTTAAGATTATTTTTTGTTTATTTTTTTTTATTAAAAAAGTAAAAACAAATATTGAGAAAACAAAGACCAAACAATAAAATACCCAAACGGTAAAATTCTTTAGCCCAAAAAAAGTGGTGGTTTAATTAGAGCAGGCCATCAGGCGTTTATTGGGCTTAAAGATGACAGCAGCCCATTATCCTTCCACTGGACAGAGCGGGAGCTATTCGTTGCTCTGTGAAACCAGCCTCACGCGGTCCACTCCACTTTAGAAGCCAAGCGGGCCCATACCTTCGTTTGGGCCACATGACCCAACTCTGAGCTTGGATAGGGCAGGCCAGAATTTAGCCACCCAAACCCTGCCATCTGAACAGGCTCAATATTCCACCACATTAATGCCCCCACTTGGGTTACAAGCCCACGTTACTGAGCTCGGCGATAGCTATAGCTTCTCTAACAAACATATAGTAGTAAATGTCATATTATATTGGCGATGTGGGATATGAGTTCTATCTGGGAAAGAAAATTGTTGGTCTTTCTTCCTTTTTTTTTCCCTTTCAAATTAGTTGCATCATAATCTGCTATTGTATTTAGTACATTGTTCATTTTACTTTTGAACTATTATAAGGATTGACTTCATGAAAATTGTATATCCATGCTGTGATATTCTAAGCTTCTGTTAATTTATTGCGATTAACACACATTCCAAGCTAAATTGGAACGTTTTGAACTCTCAAAAGGTATCGATATAAAATTTTAGACAATAGCCATCATATTAGTTAGAATTTTATTTAAAAAAGACGATGAACTGATAGGAAAAATACAATATTTGCGATTATAATGTTAGAAAATGGAAATACATAACCCTAAAATTTTGCTGGTACAATAAAAACCCTATAAAACAAGAAAAATGTAAAGAATCAACAAATACCAATTAGTGCTTAACTACCAATGTTATTACAAACCAATGCTACCTTTACTTCAAAGGCATTACCGATAACCTTACCTTATTAGTAAGTACTCCCTCCAGTCCATAATAAGTGATTTTTTGGTCTTTATTATTTTGGTCCAAAATAAGAGTCCTTTTACATAATCAAGAAGGAATTAATTTTATTTTTCCAAAATTTGCCAACATTTACATATCCTAATGTGTAAAAGTAACAATATACAAATTTTAATTAAGGGTAATTTAGTCAATATACCTTTTTTGATTTAGGAGTTAGCATTTTCTTAAGAAGTGTGCTAAAGACTAAAAGTCGCTTATTATGGACATGAGGGAGTAGTAACCAGAGCTCGCACTTTTAGATCTTTGGTAGCAGTGAATTCAAAGGGTAAAATCCTCATAAAGGAAGATGAAAGCTTATATTATTAAAGTTTACACTATTAGGCTAGTTTAGTATGTCATTGGAGGCTGCCTACTTTATCTTTCATATCATTAGTTTCATAAAAATAAGTATCTGTACATATCTTAAATGCGACTTGGCAATATAAAAAGAAACTTTACTACTATTCAAGAATTAAAACTCGTATTGATTAAAGTTATAAATAAATAAATAAAAAAGAAAAAAAGAGGCAGTCCGGTGCACTAAGCTCCCGCTATGCGCGGGGTCCGGAGAAGGGCCGGACCACAAGGGTCTATTGTACACAGCCTTACCCTGCATTTATGCAAGATGTTGTTTTCACGGCTTGATCCCATGACCTCTTGGTCACATGACAACAACTTTACCAGTTACGCCAAGGCTCCCCTTCAACTCGTATTGATAGTCTAATGAAAACAATGGAGGACACAATTTGGGGAATATTCAATGGGATATTCCTATTCATAATCCTAGGATTATTCTAACGGTTGCACCCGTTTGTTCTCTACTCGACCTCGGCATTGGACTCTCTCTTTGAGCGACTCCTCGCCACTGGACCGTGCTTGGTTTCGACCTCGGCCT